CACCATATCAACTCGTGACAAGGTCGACGAATGCGGCCGGCGCATCATTGCAGCGCGCAAGAAGCCTCCGCGACCCTCATGCGCTCCAAAGGTGCCTGCGCACATCGTCGATGAGTGCGAGAAGTCGTACAAGGCCGCGGACGAGAAGAAAGTCAAGACAAGTGCGAATTGATTCGACGATACCGGCGTGATGGCCCTAATCTGCCGTCACGACATACCCATTTTCCTAGCTAACGTAGATACTCCAGGCGAGCAACAGAAATATGCGATCGCGCTCCTCGAGCATCTCTTTACATTCCTCCCCCCCAATGCGACTGTTGCGGCACTGTACGACATTGGCTGTGTCGTCGATCGCAGCCTCGAACTGGTGAGCGCCCCTAACCCTCATGTTCATGAGAACACACTGACACTGCCCGTAGTACAACATCCTACCTGTTGATATCCACCAACGACTCATATTCGCCATCTCCGCAATGCACACGTACGGCCATCAATGGGCCTGTCAGATCGTCTACAACCCCCGTTTACGCGAAGGCCTCGGGCTCACCGATGGTGAGGGCGTCGAGAGGCTCTGGTCGAGGCTCCGTAAGCTCATTCCCATCACACGCTCGTCTGCGGTAAGCACATGTATGTTTCCGCCGCATCATGCCTCTCATGACCGCTCGCAGTGATCACGGCGTATCTGGCTGATCGACTGTCAGGCCAAGGTTATCAGCCTTGATCTGCGTGATGATCTGGGCCACTGGATCGCCCAACGCCTACGCCATGGAGTGGAATCAAGGGAGGTGTCGTCTCTTGAAGAGCTGGTGCGAGTAGGTATTCCCAAGGAGGAGCTACGAGACGAATGGAAGCAGCAATGCGTAGCGCAGACATCTATCAGAGCGCATAAGGCATCTGCTATGATCATGATACCAATGCTGACCCTCCCACAGATGCTCCAGCGCATCTCAAGAAGGAGCTGGACGTTGTGTTGAGCCTGCAGGCTGACCTTGACACTGTCAACAAGGCTATCGAAACAACACGGACAGTCCTTGAAAATGGTGAAGCGTCTGCCGAGTCCCATGAAGTCGTCGCGAGCCTCGAACGATCACATACACGCCTGGTTGATAAGGTAGAGGCCCTATACTCATCGCTCAACATCACGGACAGCTTCCCAGACTTCGGAAACATCAGCCTCGAGTTCGTGAGGCTGCTACTAATGGCACGCGACCTGAAGATCAACATTCGCAAGCGCGCAGTGGGGAGCTTCTTTGAATGGGATCGGCTGGACCAAGCAGTCGGTGGACGGCACAACCCTCTAGGTGAGTGCGAGACATCGGGGCACAGCGCTCACTATTAACATGTCACATAGGCACCAAGATCCATCAGCAGACCCGCAAAGCAATTGTGAAGCGTACACCCGCCCTCAAGACAGCGATCCGCAAGTTCAATCGCTATTGCGAGACCCTCAAAGAACTCAAACAGCCGGAGTGGACCATCACCATACCCCTTCCACTTCCCACTGACCTCGACGCCCTCCGCGACGACACCAGCCTCCTCGCCGATGTCTGGATTGACCCCTCACAAGCTCAAGCCCCCCGATGGCTCGAAGACGTTGACGTCCGCAAGGGTATTTGCGCGCTCCTACTTGGAGACCGTTGTCTAGAGGAGCGGCACCGCTTAGGAAGAGAGGCAGACAACATCTGTCGTTGGTATGGTAGTGAGCTTGCGGCCGCCAAACTGGCATTGGCGACATCATCCAGTAAGTACACCAAGCCATCGCTAGCGCCACTCGCCCCTTCCACTAACCATGGACCCTACCAGATGCGGATATCGCGTTTCTGCTACAGCAACGCGTCTGCGAGCTTCTGCTCCTACCTGCCAAATGGAAGAACCCACTGGTCTCGCCTCAACGATTTGACGCACAGACCACACTCGCGTCCGAGACGGTCAACAGCGCCCTCGGCGATCCTCAAGTGTATGCATGGCTGTTCGTCATCGAGACTCCCCTCCTTACATCATCCATCAA